GCGCTCAGAGGACAGAACAAGATAACGTTATGTGGAGTGCTCAGCCACCACCCGGCATAGAGGACGTAGCAGTCTGGATAGGTGAGGTTACGCTGCAGTAACAAACAAGCCACAAATCTTGGTGACCGAACACAGCCCATGTTTGTTTCTCACTCACGCTGCACGTCTCATAGGGGTCCCTGTGCTTTGTAGTCATTCAAGGACCCTGACTGACAGAGGGCTTGTTTTGATAGGTGCTTTTTCAAGACCCCGAGTCGGGGCTGGGGGTGGCGGAAAAGAATCTGGCACACCACACGTAGGCTCTAGAAACTCCTATTCAGAAGGACGCCGGTCACTTCCCTCACATTTCACTGCCCACACTGTCTTATGACTACACCTAATTTTAAGCAGGACGGGAAGTACAAACTAGCCCGTGGGCAGAAAGGGGCAGGCAGCGGGATGTGGGGTCAGCATTAAGACCTCCCTGTGGCCACTCGATAAATGGTAGCTGCTGCTAGAGGTCATCGAGACACGAAGGCTGATTCTGAAGGGGGAAGAGGGGATGAGGGAAGTGTGTTCTCGGCCGGGGACAAGCGTGTGCAGATGCACAGTCTGCAGGGGTCTGCCTCGCTCAGGAAGCTGTGAACGCGCACAGGGAATGGGCTAGAGACGGGCAGTTGGGGCCGCGAAGACCTTTGGGCTTTAGCACGTAGAAATGGGGCGCCTTGAAACATCTCAAGCAGGAAGGTGGGCGTGGCCAGCTCTCAGTCCATGTGTGGGAGGGGTGAGCTCCCCACGTCGGAGGCTGGCACGAGGAGGGGGAGGGCGAGAGAGCTCTGTGGGTGAGGTCACCGGACTGGAAGATGGACAGGCTGCGAAGGGTTGGGGAGAGCGGTGGAGGATGACCCCGGGTCCCCCGAGTGGGGCGGCGGGGAGCATGCCCAGTGTAGTGGCGGAGGTGGTGAACCGCCACGGTCACTTTCAACGACAATGCCTCGTCCGTCCGAGGAGGTTGCGGAAGGTCAGGAAACGCCTTCCATCCCGTCTTTGGTAAACTCCTGCTGCGCACGCGCAGACCCCATCATCTGGCCTCTTCCTGATGCGGCTACGCACGCGGGAAGCCCGCCCGCCTGTGTGCCGCGCCCGGCTTTATTCATAGCCACCGCCAAGCCGAAAATAACGACCGAACTTCAGAAACGTGATGGCGAACAAAAGAAGCCAGGCACACAAACGCTCGTACTCCGTGATTCTATTTACAGAAAGCCCCCCAAATAGCGAAATCACGGTGTGGGAAGTGGGGGTTATGTTTGGGGTGGACAGAGTGGGTCGTGAGCGAGGCCTCGAGAGGGTGGCAGTGTCCCCTTTCCTGCTGTGGGCGACGGTGACACAACGTTTACTCCGTGACGAGTCCAACATCTAACGCGTGCACATACTACACGCCGATTCAAACGAGCCGGGGAAAAACAGGAGACACGGCATTTTGGGGGCCGCGAAAGGGAGCACGACTTATAGAGCAGCCGAGCAGCAGAAGAAGGTGGCGTCCTAGAGTGGAGGAGCAGCGAGGTGGCCCTCGGGGCGACAGCCGCTGAGACGCCAGCTCAGGGAGGAGGCCAGAAAAGTTGTCCCCAACCCCGGTGGGACTTTTTGGGGAGGAGGGGTGGGGCGGTAGTAAGGAGGCAGGTTGTGGGGGGCTCCGGCAGAGAGTGGGGGTTGTGAAGGGGAGGGGGGCGCCCTGCGGGCGGTGGGAAGAGGATGGACGTGGAATCAGGGCTTTGCCGGGGCGAGGGGGGGGGCGGCGGGCACCCAGAGGGGTGCCGACAAATTTCACCTCCTCACAGAGGCCCCTCCACTCGCCCTTCCCACGGCAGACCCGCCCTCGCCGCCCATCTCCGTCCCCGAACCCACAAACCCACGTTCCCGTCTCACTGGTTAGGACCTACACGGCATGTGTTTACCCCACCTTGTCGACCGCGCCCCACTAGGAGGTCAACCCCATGGGAGCGGGGAGTTCCGTGTCTTCTGTCCTGCGCTCCACCCCTGGCTGGGAATGGGTCTGCACACAGTAAGTGCTCAATGAACGTCATGAATGGAAGAATGGGGAGGAGTCTGT